AGGCTTGAGCCACCGCGCCCGGCCAATTGCAAAAATTTTTTCCCATTCTGTTGGTTGCCGATTCACTCTAATGATTATTTCTTTTGCTGTGCAGAAGCTCTGGAGTTTAATTAGGTCTCACTTGTCTATTTTGGCTTTTGTTGCTAATGCTTTTGGTGTTTTATCATGAAGTCCTTGCCTATGCTTGTGTCCTGAATGGTTTTGCCTAGATTTTCTTCTAGGGTTTTTATGGTGTTAGGTCTTATGTTTAAGTCTTTAATCCACCTGGAGCTAATTTTAGTGTAAGATGTCAGGAAGGGGTCCACTTTCTGCTTTCTGCACATGGCTAGCCAGTTTTCCCAACACCATTTATTAAACAGGGAATCCTTTCCCCATTGCTTGTTTTTGTGAGGTTTGTCAAAGATCAGATGGTTATAGATGTGTGGCGTTGCCTCCGAGGCCTGTGTTCTGTTCCATTGGTCTATATCTCTGTTTTGGTAATTCTTTATTTTAAAAAATATATATTTGCCATGTGATGGTAATTTGCAATAGATGTGATAATGAGAATAACCAAAATCGGGTAAATGTGACAAAAGGTTGACAAACTGTTTCGCACCCTTAAATTATACTACGTCAAGAATGAGGAGAAAGCATTACAAAAGACTACTGCAATGCTACTTATATTCTTGCAATAAAACCAGCAAAGCATCCATATCAAGAGAGTTCTTATCTCACTTCCAACATTTGCTCCTCACAAACAATTTGAATATCTGGCATCCAAAGTCACATAGGTCTATAAAACTTCTAGTAGATTTTTATGCTCCTTTGCATGACTTTTCAAGGTAAAAATGTTACTTGTTCATATAAAAGGGTTCTTATTTCTTGTTCGATGGCAGATTGAGTTTCTGGACTTAGTTTCTCTGTATCACTGTAGGTCATAACTCCAAGCTTTCACTAACTCCAAATTTGATAACTATCCACCTTGCTATTTTAGCGGCATTATCAAAATCACTGGAAGTACCAGTTATAATATGGTAGGTTCCAAATATAAGCTCTTCTGCCACTCTCGCCCCCACGCTAGCATCCATTAGTGCAAGCAGCTGGACTCCAGTTCCATTTCATCTGTAACACTGGGTAACAGGAAGACATGTCCAAGTGTTGGCCCTTGTGGCATGATTGTAGCTTTGTTGATAGGCATTTCATCCTTTGTGTAATATGCAACAATGGCAGATTCATGATATACTGTGATGGATTTGTTTTTGTTACGAATGTTTATGCTGCTTTTCTCAGGCCCCATAAGAATTTTATCTTTGGAAAACTTCAATTCCCTCATGTTAAACATTTCTTTTCCATCAACAGCTGCAAAAGGGCATATATTTGGTATAATTTAATTTTTACAAAATGTCCTGAATAGACAAAGCAATAGAAACAGAAAGTAGAGGCTGGGCGCAGTGGCTCACGCCTATAATCCCAGCACTTTGGGAGGCCGAGGTGGGTGGATCACGAGGTCAAGAGATCAAGACCATCCTGGTCAACATGGTGAAACCCCGTCTCTACTAAAAATACAAAAATTAGCTGGGCATGGTAGTACACATCTGTAGTCGCAGCTTCTCGGGAGGCTGAGGCAGAAGAATTGCTTGAACCCAGGAGGTGGAGGTTGCAGTGAGCCAGGATTGCACTATTGCACTCCAGCCTGGGTAACAAGAGCAAAACTCCGTCTCAAAAAAAAAAAAAAAAAAAAAACCAGAAAGTAAATTAGTGATTTCTTTTTTTTTTCTCCCATTTATTTATTTTATTGCATTTTAGGTTTTGGGGTACATGTGAAGAACATGCAAGATTGTTGCATAGGTACACATGTGTCATTGTGATTTGCTGCCTTCCTCCGCATCAGATGTAGGTGATAGTGATTTCTTAAGGCTGAGGGAAGAGGAGAAGTAGGACTGACTAAATAGGGGGTTCTTTCTGAGGTGATGGAAATGCTGTGGAATGGGGTAGGGATGGTGATTGCACAGCATAGTGAATACACTAAAAACCATTTATCTGTACACTAAAAAATGGTGCATTTCATATGGTGTTAATTATATCACATAACCACGTAAATAAACAAATAATTTATATGCAGGTTTCTGCCCAGGGTTTGGGAAGCTGGAAAGAGTTTCACTGCAACCCTAACCATGACTAAAACTCAGAACAGCTCTATAATGTAGATTTCATCTGAGACTATCAGAAATCTGAGCTCTGGGAGCAATTGAGTAACCTAAATGCCAAGGAGGAGTAGGATGCCATGACAAGCTCCCCAGAGGCAGAACGCACGAGGGCAGGAGGCTGCATTACAAGCTGGGAAGGAAGAATCAGATGAAATTGTAATGAATTCCTGGAGAGTTAATGTTTGCTGGCCACCAAGAAACAAGTATCTCTGGGAACCTAAAACAGAAGGGCACTAAACACTCGCCCACAGGCTTTTTTCCAGGGGTCTCAACTGGGCATTCATAAGATAGATTGTGAGTAAGGCGGAGACCCAATCTTTGCGGTCAGACATGATTACCTTCCACTGTGCATGGTCTGAAATCTCACCCCCTGCCCAGATACTTCTCCCATGTGTAGAAAAAGACTTGTCACTGGGAGAAGTTCAGCAAAACTTGCCAATCACACACCATGGGAAACAACCCATTGTGGATGTAAGAAGGTAGATTTAAGAGTCCCTCTATCCCTAGGAGTGCTGCAGAAAATTTCTGAAACCACAAACATAGATATACAAAGGAGAGAGATGGGAAATTCCATCCCAAATCAACCAAAACTACCAGGTACAATCCAGCTGCCAAGGAGAAGGAGGACAGAGACACTGAAAGAGCCCCACCCTTCAGGCCCACACACATGGAAATTCCCCAAAACTGAGGCTAGGTGAGGACAGGAGAAATTTCTACTCCCCACCATGAGCCTATCCCTGAGAAGCAAGCAAGAGCAGTCTACAACTGGGGGAGGCCCTAAGGCACCAAGTGGAGTACAGGATTGATGCAGTGGAGTCCATCCAGCTGTGGGGTCAGCAGTCCCAATGCAAGCAGGAGGGACCCATGAGTGGAATCGCCATAGGGCAAGAAAGGAGGACATGCCTGGATGCAACACCAGTGACTCCCTCTCATGAGGGACTGTGTAGCCACCACTGTAGCTGAAAGTCTCACCTGTGACTAGCAGAGAGATCTGGATGTGATGCCACCCTTTGAGGAGACCAGCAGTCCACCTGGTGGCAACTTGATGACATGAAACACATTCCACTCAGGAGGGGGCAGCAAATCTTCATTAGTCAGAAGAATGCTTGCACTGAAATTGGGTCTGACTGAACTCGTTGTAGGAGTCTGTGAAGACTCAGAATGTCTGACTTGTTTAAACGAAATATCCCATGACTTATTCTCAGAATGAAAATCCAGATGCCCATGAAGTCAGTGAAGGGAATGAGAACGTGGTCACATAATATTCTGGGGATGACCTGAGATAGAGTTATGTACCATGCAGTGGTTTGGTATTGCTGGGACTCAGAGAACATTGAAATGGCCTCTTAAAATTGGATGTATTGAACAGTTTGTGAATGAGACTCTGCAATTTGGGTGTTCTGTTATGGTGTAGTAGATATAAATAGGGATATAAAAAGTTGTAGATGATATAAAGATGATAGATGATGCTATGGGTTTTGATAGATAAAATGCATGGACTCAAGAATAAAGTGAGAGATTAACGAACAGCATCTATCACTAACATTACAGATGACACACTTGGGAGATGTGCACGTCCTGTGACTGAACTTTTCGGTGACCCTGGGTTAGAAGATCTGCCCGGTAAGAAACCACTATGAAGGAACAACACAAAAGTCACTCTTTACCGAAAATGATGATTTTGTGGTGTTTCCTTTGGTTTCTTTATCACAGTATATCAGAAGGTAGGGAGAAAGAGATTATACTGTCCTGGGTAATGTTCTTAAATAATGATGAGGAGGATTTGGTGAAGAGAGGGTAATTGGGCAGCTTAGATAACTTGCTGTGGAACTGATGAAGTCTCCATGACTGGAGGTAACCATGCCTGGGCTTGGGGTTTGTATTGTATCCCCAAAAAGGTATGCTGAGATCCTAACCTCTTGTAGCTGTGAATATGAACTTATTTGGAAATAGGATCTTGTAGGTATAATTTGTTGAGATGTGGTGATGCTGGCTTAGGGCATGATCTAAATCCAATATTGCTCACATCCTTAGAAGATATGAAAAAGACACACAGGGAAGAACAGAATGCCATGAAAAGATGGAGGCAGAGATGAGAATGAGAAGTCTGTAAACCAAGCAATGCTAAGAATTACCAGCAAGGACCAAAATCTAAGAAAAAGACACATAAGTTTTTTCTTCCCTCTGGAAGAAAGAAATTATATCAACATTTTGATTTTTTATTTCTGGCCTACAGAACTCTGAGAGAGTAAGTTTATCTGGCTTTTAGCCAATACTTTGCAATAATTTGTTAAGACAACCTCCAAGAAACCAACACAGTGGGCAACTGCAACAAGAAAGCCTGAGACAGGCACAATAATCAGGTGCTCAGATTCCTCACAGTTGAAATTTTATGTTTATTTCACTGGGCTGATAGATGAGACAAGCAGAGTTTTTCATGCAAACTATGGCAGAATGTAAGCAGAATCTAGAAAGGGTGATAGACAACAAAGCTGGCAAATATCAAGGATAACCTCAGGATTAATTACAACAGAGAACACTGTACTTTTCCTCTTTCACACCCATATGCTTTGTTTGCTCATTTTTAGGTAAATGTGTCCAGCATGTTGTTGCTTTGGCAGCACATATGCCAAAATCGGAATGATACAGAGAAGATTAGCATGGCAGCTGCACAAGTATGTTACTAAATTCCCTGAAGCATTTTGTGTATATTTTTTAATATGTCCAGCAAAGACCTGGAAGAGGTTATAGTGTGAAAAAGACATGAACATGAGGTTCATGGAACTATGAGCAGGAAAAAGTGCAGCCCACAACAGACAGGGCAGACCCTGGTGATGCCCCATCAATGTTGTCTGAGTCATCTCTTCTTTTTTTTTTTTTTTGGTTTTCAAGACGGAGTTTTGCTCTTGTTGCCCAGGCTGGAGTACATTGGCACGATCTCAGCTCACTGCAGCCTCCTCCCAGGTTCAAGAAATTCTCCTGCCTCAGCCTCCCAAGTAGCTAGGATTACAGACACCTGCCACCATGCCCAGCTAATTTTTGTATTTTTAGTAGAGATGGGGTTTCACCATAGTGGTCAGGATGGTCTCGAACTCCTGACTTCAGGTGATCTGCCCACCTCGGCCTCCCAAAATGCAGCTATTACAGGCATGAGCCACTGCACCTGGCCGTGTCGTGTCTTTTTAGTTCATGTCATCCTAAATCTCCACTGTCAAAAGTTTCCTCTCCTAGAGATTCTAGATGCTATAAATGATAAGATAAATGAAAAAAATAGAGGACATTCTTTAGAAGAAGACATCAAAATCAAGTACTCAAAAACCTAAGACTCATAGTGTTCACCATTCAGTCAATAATTAACCATTTAAACATTAAAGAAAGTTTACAATGTTTACATTTTTCTTTTTTTTTTTTAACTTTCCTCTGGCTGGGTAATTTCAAAAGATCTATCTTCAGGTTTAAAGATTCATTCTTCTTGATCTTGTTTGTTGTTGACATTGTATATTACATTTTTTAATTTATTTTTATTTTTATTTTATTTTATTTTTTTGGAAATGAGTTTCGCTCTTGTTACCCGGGCTGGAGTGCAATGGCATGATCTCGGCTCACCGCAACCTCCGCCTCCTGGGTTCAGGCAATTCTCCTGCCTCAGCCTCCTGAGTAGCTGGGATTACAGGCACGCGCCACCATGCCCAGCTAATGTTTTGTATTTTTAGTAGAGACGGGGTTTCACCTTGTTGACCAGGATGGTCTCGATCTCTTGACCTCGTGATCCACCCGCCTCGGCCTCCCAAAGTGCTGGGATTACAGGCTTGAGCCACCGCGCCCGGCCACATTTTTTTATTTTTTCCATTGAATTCTTCAGCTCCAAAATTTCTGAGATTTTTATTAATCTATATCTTTGTTGAATTTGTCATTCAGATTATGAATTGTCTTCCTGATTTTGCTAAATTTCCTGTCATGCTCCTCAAGATAATTTTGAGTTTCTTTTGAGGAAAAATATAAATTTCCTTTTTCTTTGGGGTTCAGGATATAACACTGTAATTGTGGTGACTGAACTACTCTAATCCTAAGTAGAAAGACTAAATGACAAACTAATAAAAAAATATAGCTACAACAACTTTTCAAGATACAGTCAGTACAATAAGATATAACTGGAAACAACATCTTAAAAAGCAAGAAAATGAACTGAAGGCATAGAGTTTTTGCTTTCTTTTTGCTTGTTGTTTATGCAAACAGTGTTAAGTCATTATAAGGTCAAAATAATAGGTTATAAAGTAGTATTTGCAAACCTCATGGTAACCACAAACCAAAAAAAAAAAAAAATTACAATAGAGACACAAAATATGCACAGCAAGGGACTAAATCATATCACCAGAGAAAACCACTTTCATTAAAGGAAGACAAGAAGAAAAGAAAGAAGGAAAAACACACACACAGGACAGCCAGAAAACAAGTAACAAAGTTGCAGGAGTATTCATTGAATTCTTCAGCTCTAGAATTTCTGTTGGGTTCTCTTTTATTATGTCTATACCTTTGTTGAATTTCTCATTCGGATTATGAATTATTTTCCTGATTTTGCTGAATTGTCTGTCATTATGCTCCTCAAGATCATTTTGAATATTTTTTAAGAAAAATGGTGAATGTCCTTTTTTGGAGGGGTCAGTTACTCAAGAATCATTGTGATGCATGGGTGGTGTCATGGTTGCTTGCTTTTTGATACTTCTTGTGTCGCTGCCTTCATGTCTGCAAATCTTGCGGAATAATCACCTTTTCTAAACACTAAGAGGCTTCCATAGGATAACACTTTGACGCAGAGATGAGTCATAGTGTGCTGGTTAGGAAGAGTAGGGTGGTTCTGGCTCCAAGTAGATGAAGTGCAGCTTCTTAAGCCGTTGCCGATATTAGCAATCACTGGATGTCTAGGTGGACTAGGCTGAAGAAATTTGTGGTAGAAGTATTACAGATTGTTGGTGTCCGTGATGCCAAAAGCATTTGGAGTCCTACTATTTTTATTTTCCCACAAAGGAAAGTCTCAGTTGAGAACATCCCTCTTGGTGTTGGGTCTGACGTGTCCCACAAACAGCTGCAGGGGTAAAGGATTCCAGGGTGTCAGTGATCAGAGCAGCTGTGGTGCAGGACTCTGGGGCTCAGTGTCTCATGAACCTATTGTGCCACCTAGGTTTTGGGGTTCACATTCACTTTCCAAGGCATGGTTACATACAGATTTTCCACAAAGCTTTTAGGCACTCCTTAGCAGCTTAGAACCAGTGGGCCTGGTTTGGCTATGACTCTAACTCCGGAGACAGACAAGAGCACTGCTATAGCTCTGAAGAAGCAGAGGTGCCCTGGGCAACAAGAGCAAAACTCCATCTCAAAAATAAAAAGAAATAAATTGAAGATAACACAGAGAAAGAATTCAGAATTCTGCCAGATACATTTAACAAGGACATTGAAATGATTAAAAAAAAAATCAAGCAGAAATTCTGGAGCAGCGAAGAGCAACTGGCATACCTGAAGAATGCATCAGCAACTTTTAACAGAATTGATCAAGCAGAAGAATTTGTGAGCTTGAAAATAGGCCACTTGAAAATACAAAGTCAGGCGACAGGGAAAAATACTAAAAAAAAAAAGCAATGAATCATGCCTACAGGATCTAGAAAATAGCTTTAAAAAGGAAAATCTAAGAATTACTGGCCTTAAAGAGGAGGAAGAGAAAGAGATAGGAGAGGGAAGTTTATTCAAAGGCATAATAACAGAGAACTTCTCAAACCTATAGAAAGATGTCAATATACAAGTACAAGACACTTATAGAACCTCAAGCAGATTCAACCCAAAGAAGACTATTTCAAGACATTTAATAATCAAACACCCAAAAGTCAAGGAATATGGAAAGCATCTTAAAAACGGCAAGAGAAAAGAAGCAAGTAACAGAAAAGAAGCAAGTAACAGAAATGAAACTCCAGTACATCTGGCAACAAACTTCTCAGTGGAAACCTTACAGGACAGGAGAGAGTAGCATGACATATTTAAAATGCTGAAGACCAAAAACTTTTCCTGTAGAATAGAATATCTGGCAAAAATATCCTTCATACAGGGACGAGAAGTAAAGACATTCCTAGACAGACAAAATCGAAACAACTTCATAAAAACCAGACCTCTCATACAAAAAATGCTAAAAGTACTTCAATCAGAAAGAGACAGACCTTAGTGAGCAATAACAAATCATCTGAAGCTACAAAATAAATACACAGAAAAACACAGAATACTATAACACTGTAGCCATAGTGCAAATTACTCTTAAGCAGAAAGACTAAATGATGAACCAATCAAAAATAATAACTGCAACAACTTTTCAAGACATAGAGAGTACAAGAAAATATAAATAGAAACAACAAATAATAAGCAAGGAAACAAAGTTAAGGCACAGAGTCTGTTAGGTTTTTTGATTGTTTCTTTATGGAAGCAGTGTTAAGCTGTTATCAGCTTAATGCATTATAAGATTATATTTGCAGGTCTCATGGTACACCCAATCCAAAAAACACAGAGAATCACAAAAAATAAAAAGCAGGAAACTAATATATCACAAGAGGAAATCACCTTCATTATTACAAAAAAAAAAAGGAAAGAAAGAAGAAAAGAATGCAAAACAACAAGGAAACAAAACACGCAATGGCAGGAGTAAGTCCTTACCAATAATAACATTGACTATAAATGAACTAAACTCTGCAGTCAAAAGACACAAAGTGAATGGGCTGAATGGCTGAATGGATTAAAAATAATAATAACAAGGCTCAATGACCTGTTGCATACAAGAAACAAACATCACCTATAAAAACACAAATAGACTGAAAATAGATGGAAAAAAGGGTATTTCGTGCCAATAAAAACTAAAATAGAGCAGAAGTCACCATACTTTACATGGCAAAGTAGATGTCAAGATTAAAAAAACAAGAGACCAAAAGGTCACTATAGAATAACAAAGTTTCCTGCTGGGCGCAGTGGCTCGCGCCTATAATCCTAGCACTTTGGGAGGCCAAGGTGGGTGGATCACCTGAGGTCAGGAGTTCAAGACCAGCCTGGCCATCATGGTGGAACCCCATCTTTAAAACAAAACAAAACAAACAAACAAACAAAAAACAAAGGTTTCAATTCAGCAAGAGGATATTACAATTGTAAATATATATGTACCCAAACCTGGAGCATCCAGATGTATAAATATTATTAGAACTAAAGAAAAAGACAGGTGCCAATACAGTAATAGCAAGAGAGATCAACACCCAACTTTTAGCATTGGACAGATGTTCCAGAGAGAAAATCAACAATGTAACATTAGTCTTAGTCTTCACCACAGACCAAATGGACCTAATCGATATTTAGAAAACATTTTCTCCAACAGCTGCAGAATACACATTCTTTTCTATAGCACATGGATTATTCTCAAGGATAGACCATATGGTAGGTCACAAAACACATTCAATATAATTGAAATAATATCCAGCATCTTCACTGACCACAGCCTGAAATTAGTAACAAGAGGTCGGTTGGAAACTGTACAAATACATGCAAATTTAACAGTGTATTCCAGAATAACAAGTGGGCCAACAAAAAAAATTAAGAAAAAAGTTGAAAAGTTTCTTGTAACAATTGACATTGGAAATACGACATACCAAAACCTACGGGATACGGCAAACACACTTCTAAGAGGGCAAAAGTTCATAGCTATAAGCTCCTACCTCAAAAAGGAAAAACTTCAAATAACCTAATAATGCACCCTAAAGAGCTTGAAAAGCGCAACGAACGAACCCAAAATTCGTAGGAAAAAATCGTAGACAAAAAAATGTTTACCACCAAGCATCTCCTCAGGCTGATGCTGTGCCAAACATGGGATTACAGAGATTGCAGCTTCCATCCCAAAAAGCTCTCATTCCATGCTCTCAGGGCAATCTCAGTAACCCAATTGCAACTATCCATCCAGACCATGGAAGTACCTTTACCCCTTAAATAGGAAGGAGTGCCAGGAAAAAGACCTCACTAAGCTGATTTGCATTTTCCAAAAGCAAATAAATAAATAAATAAATAACTGTTTAACCTGCACAGCCAAATATCAAATACAAAAAAGAGAAGACAACAAAGATCGGAGTAGAAGTATATGAAATTGTTAGGAAAAATATGCAAAAGATAATAAAAGGCTAGTTTTTGGAAAAGTTAAAATTCACAAACCTTTAGCCAGAGTAAGAAAAAAAACCAGACAAGCTACGTATAAATGAATCAAAGATGACACGGGAGACATCACACTGATACTGCAGAAATTCAAAGGATCATCAGTGGCTACTATGAACAACTATATGCCAGTGAAGTAGGAAACCTAGAAGAAATGGACAAATTCCTAGACATGTATGACCTGCCAAGATTCAATCATCGAGAAATACAAAGTCTGAATAGACCAATGACAAGTAACAAGACTGAAGCCATAATAAAAAGTCTACCAGTAAGCCCATGACCTGATGGCTTCACTGCTGAATTCTACCAAACATTTAAAGAACCAATAACAATCCTACTGAAACTATTCAGAACAAAGAAGGTGAGAATACTTCCAAAGTCATTCTACAATGCCAGTATTACCCTGATACCAAAACCAGACCAAGACAAACCAAGAAAATAAAACGACAAGCCAATGACTGATGAGTATGGGCAAATATGCTCAACAAAATACCAGCAAACTGAATTCAACAATACATTTAAAAAGATCATTCATCATGACCAAGTGGGATTTATCCCTGGGATGCAAGGATAATTTAACATACACAGATTAATCAATGTGATAATCTTATCAACAGGATGACAGACAAAAACCATATGATCATTTCAACTGATGCCAAAAAAGCATTTGATAAAAATCAACATGCCTTCATGAAAAACAACTGAGTGTGGCTGGCATGGTGACTCATGCCTGTCATCCCAGAACATTGGGAGGCCAAGGTGGGTGGATCACTAAAGGTGGTGAGTTCGAAACCAGCCTGGCCAACATGGTGAAATCCTATCTGTACTAAAAATACAAAAATTAGCTTGATGTGCCTGCTTGAACCCAGGAGGCAGAGGTTGCAGTGAGCCAAGATCGTACCACTGCACTCTAGCCTGGGTGACAGAGCGAGATTCTGTCTCAAAAATTGAGTGTAGAAAGAACATATCTCAACATCATAAAAGCCAAATATAATAGACCCATAACTAGTATCATACTGAATAAAGAAAAACTGAAAATTTAGATCTTTCTCTAAGATCTTGAACATGACAAACCATTCAGCACTGTTATCCAGCATAGTTCTGAAAGTTCTAGCTAGAGCAATGAGACACGAGAAAGAAAGGGCATCACATTGATAAGGAAGAAGTCAAATTATCCTTGTTTGCAGACAATATGTTTGTTTCTTTGTTTTGTAATGGAGTCTTGCTTTGTTACCCAGGCTAGAGTGCAGTGATGCAATCTCAGCTCGCTGCAACCTCTGCCTTCTGGGTTCAAGCGATTCTCCTGCCTCAGCCTCCCAAGTAGCTGGGATTACAGACGCGTGCCACCACGCCCAGCAAATTTTTGGTACAGATGGGGTTTCACCATGTTGGCCAGGATGGTCTCAAACTGCTGACCTTGTGATCTGCCCACTTCGGCCTCCAAAGAGCTGGAATTACAGGTGTCAGCCACCACACCCTGCCAATATGATCTTATTTTTAATGGCATTAATTTAAATACAATTTTCCCTTCATAATATTGTCTAAGTCATCTAAATAAATACCCAGTTGTTTAAAAATAATAATAAACAGATACCTTTTTTCTTTAATATAACCTTTGCTGTTCATTCTTGTTGGGTGGCTTTCCTCCCACACACCTGATCTTGCAAAAAGAATTTCTCCCAAGGCTGTCCCTGGCTGGCATCAGACCTCCTGATGGGGGATTGTTGCAGCTGTTCCTGTCTCACTCTCCCAAAAGTTGCATCAGCTCAGGTTTGTACCCAGGAGGGACAGGACTAATCCCAGCCTCACACTCGTGTGGGCAGATGCTTCTGTCTGACCACAGCAGACTGAATCTGTTAAACAACAGGAGAGGGGCCCAGTGCTGATCATGGACTTCACTCAGTGTGCAGATATCCCAGTTCCTGTCCACAAACATGAGCAAGGGGGAGCCACAGCTTTTCCTCTTCATCTGAAGCCCCTACCCCCTCCCTGACTGTGAGGACCTGGGGTCCCTCTTCTGTCCCACACAGAAGTGGAAATCTCCTTCCTGATGACCCAACGATGGTCCTAGGTACATGCGGCCCTTCAGCTTTCAACCCTGTTCTTTGATGTACAACCTTCTCAAACTAAAAAGCTTTTTATTTCTTTTCTGCACAAAACTTTCATAATCTATATAATTCAGATATGTATATATATATATATATATATATATATATATATATATGTTTTGAGACAAGTCTTACTCGCTGGCCCAGGTTAGAGTGCAGTGCTATGGTCATGCCTCACTGCAGCCTGGACCACCCAGGCTCAAGCAATCCCCCCACCTCAGTCTCCCAAATAGTTGGGACTGCAGTCATGCACAACCACACCTGATTATTTCTTTTTTATTATATGCAGAGATGAGGTCTCACTCTGTTCCCCAGCCTGGTCTTGAACTTCTGAACTCAAGGGATCCTCCATCCTCAGGTGCTCAGATTACAGGGGTGGGCCACCATGCCTGCAACTTTAAACATAAGGAGCATTTCTTGGTATTTGGAGCTGATGTGGGCTCTTGAGTGGGTGCATCAATCATCCTTTTCAACTACAGAGCTCAATGCCAGGATCCTCTCACGCCCAACTACTCCTGTCTAAATATGATCTGGAAACTCACCATGGCTGAGCCCCTTCCATGTCTCAGACACCACTAACCCCCGCATCCACTCTGAGAAGTAGAGGTCATGACCACAGTCTCCAAAAGATAAAGACCGAAGGAAGCCACTGATTAAGTGGAGGATAATTGGGAATTAAATTCAGCCCCCCATGCCACCCTCTGAATAAGATGACAAACTTGAGTAATTGTTCTGAAAACCTTGAACATGGTTTGAGGTGCAGAGGGATGGCCAAGGACACGGGCACTGAGGACGCAGGAACGACTCAGAGGTTCATTCCCAGAGGAGGGGGTTTTGCTGCTTTGCCCTAATGCACACAACCTTGGTGAGCTGAGTATAGGTCAGGCAGGCAGTGGCCAGGCCTTAGGGAGACCCCATTTCTGTCTGAAATGTCTGCAGAGAGCCTGGAGCTCACCCCAGCCCCATCCCTGGGGAAATGAGAGTCCTGGGGAGGGCAGTTCCTCATCCTGTGGGGCTGCAGATGGGACAGTCTTGTGACAGGGAGAACACAGCCTCCAGTCCACACTCTGCATGCTCCTGTGTCCTGCCAGGCACTGTGGTCTCATCTGCCATGAGCCTCACCCTCTCAGTCATGATTTGCCTCGGTGAGGTTTGAAGAGGGGAAGGAAGACCCTAGTCTTGGAGGGTACTCACTCTAAAGCAAGGCTCTGGTCTATCAGAGAGTCTGGTCTATCAGAGGCTCCTAGAGAGGAGAGGAACTGCTGGGGCTTCGGGGAAAAAATCTCTCACAGGGAACTCTCTTCCAGGGCTGAGCCTGGGCCCCAGGACCAGCGTGCAGTCAGGTGAGTCTGTCCCCAGCTGTCCCAGGTCCCTGCTTCTCTGGGGACAAGGGCCCAACCCCCGGACAACTGGGGGTGGAGACACCAGTTCTGGGCTGACTGATGGGGATGTCTGGAGGGTCCTGGGGCTGGTAGAGCTGGGATCTGAGGGATGAGGACATCTTGGCATCAGTCTCTGATTCCATTCCAGGCACCATCCCCAAACTCACCCTCTGGGCTGAGCCAGGCTCTGTGGTAGCCTGGTTCAGCCCCATGGCCCTCTGGTGTCAGGGCCCACTGGAGACTGTGAAGTACCGTCTGGATAAGGACGGAATCCCATGGCACAGACAGAACCCACTGGAGCCCGGAGCCAAGGCCAAGTTCCACAATCCATCCATGGGATTTCACGCTGCAGGGCAATACCGCTGCCACTATGAGACCCCTGCAGGCTGGTCAGAGCCCAGTGACCCCGTGGAGCTGGTGGTGACAGGTGAGGGGACACTCAGGGGCCCCAGCTCCAGGCTCTGCCCTCAGGAAGGAGGTCGGCTCTCAGAGGTGTCGCCCTTCTCACAGCCCAGTCTTGGGGATACGGTGGGAGGTGTGACCCCATTAAACACGTTGCCTCCTTCTTCCCTAGGATTGTATGCAGAACCCACCCTCTCAGCCCTGCCCAGCCCTGTGGTGGCCTCAGGAGGGAACACGACCCTCCAGTGTGACACACGGAACGGATTTCTCATGTTTGTTCTTGTTGAGGAAGGAAAACAGAAGCTCCCCAAAGGGCTGTCCCAGGCCCTGTTCCCTGTGGGCCCTGTGACCCCCAGCCACAGGTGGAGGTTCAGATGATATTACCATTTCTGGAAAAAACCTCATGTGTGGTCGAACCCCAGTGATCTCCTGGAGATTCTGGTCCCAGGTGAAAAAGCCAGCACGCTTCTTTATACAATTGAGAGGAGCGAGATAGGCTGTGGGAGTCTGGTTGATGACTGATCATGGCCAGGACCCCAGAAGGATGTGTTGAGGGCTGGGCTGACGGTGTGAGGAGGACCCCATGCGGAGGCTCTGATAGGGAAAGAGGAGCCTCAGTCACCACACCTGGACGGGGTCAACTCAAGAAGGCACTGGGTGTATTTGCTGCAATTTCCTGTCCCTTGATGAGATGAGGACAGACCAGAAAGAGTGGCCAAGAGTCAGGGAGACCTTGGTCTGGAACCTCTCCAGGACAGCCCGGGTAAGGAGGAGCCCCTGGGATCTGAGACACAGGGTGTGAGAGACACTGAGACCTACAGGGCCAGGATGGGAGAAGGAAGGGGTGTGGGAGGAACAGCCGTCCAAGCCCCTGCTCCTCTTTCCCTCCAGGCGTGTCTAGGAGGCCGGCCCTCCTGACCCCACAGGGCCCTATCGTGGCCCATGGAGGCAGCCTGACCCTGCAGTGTCGCTCTGATGTTGACTACGACAGATTTGCTCTGTACAAGGCCCAGGGAGTTCACCTCCTCCAGGGCTCTGGCCAGAAGTTCCAGGTTGGGCTCTCCCAGGCCAACTTCACCCTCAGCCCGGTGAGCTGCTCCCACAGGGGCCAGTACAGATGCTCCGGTGCCCACAACCTCTCCTCCGAGTGGTTGGCCCCCAGTGACCCCCTGGACATCCTGATCGCAGGTGAGGAGCCCAGCGGGTTCAGTCAGGGACCCAGGTTCCCCACAGGCACTGCCAGGAGAGCCCAGGTGGTGATGGCTGGGATGAGGGGTGGGCGTCCCCAGGGAGGAGGAGACTCAGAGAAAACAGAGACAGACTGAGGGTCCCAGAGAGAGGCCTGGGGAGGTCTCAGCTCAGAACAAGCCAGGGCAGCCCCTCACCCATCCTCTTCTCTCCAGGACAGATCCCTGAGAGACCCTCCCTCTCAGTGCAGCCGGGCCCCAGGGTGGCCTCAGGAGAGAAGGTGACCCTGCCGTGTCAGTCATGGCACCATGTGGACACTCTTTTTGACCAAGGAGGGGGCAGCCCATCCCACCCGGCGTCTAAAGTCAAAGTACCAATCTTATAGGAACCAGGCTGAATTCCCCATGAGTCCTGTGGCTTCAGCCCAGCGTAGAACCTACCGATGCTACAGCAGAATCAGCTCCTACCCCTGCCTGCTGTCAGACCTTAGTTACCCCCCACTGCAGCTTGTGGTCTCAGGTAAGAACCCTGACCCTGTCCTCTCTGAGCTCAAAGGCTCAGCTCAGGACCTGTCCCCAGGAGAGCTCTGGGCTGGGATGGAGGGAGGGGGGTGTTAGGAGGCTCAGCCAGAGCGGGACTCACCCCTCAGAGGGGAGGAGGACAGTGGGCCACCTCCCAGGCAGGCCCACCCTTGGCCCCATCTCCTGGGACACAAATGGTGAAAGGTGAGCAGAGGAGAGTTTCCAGAGAAGCGACAGGCAAGTCGAGCGAGGGGCTTCAGTGGACATGGGGACTCTGGGGCACCAAAGCTCCTCCCTCCCTTTCTGTGCTTACTCCCAGGAGCCTCTGGGAGCCCCAGCCCCCCACCCACCGGTCCCACCCCCACACCTGCTGCGTGACTACGGCCTCTTGGCTGGGAGGGAGCATGGCCTCCCCCAGGGCAGTCTCCCAGAGGATCCCGTTCCCCTCAAGGACTCAGCACAGGCTTCCTCCAGAGAGCTGGGCAGAGACAGAGGGGGCACAGGCTCCCAGGGGCTGTGAGGCTGGGCCAGTGAGGGGTGGGGGGTCAAGGCAGTGGGAGATGCTGGGGCCCAGCCTCGGGAAGGAGGAGCTGGTATGATGTGGGGAGTAGGACAGCCCCAGCCCTCAGCTCCCCATCGTGACCCAGCAGAAATGAAGAGAAGGTGCTGCTATTTGGAGAAACAAGGAAGTCAGAGGTGGGAAGTTTGGGAGAAACAAACCACCCTTCTTAAGTACTGGGAGGTTCTGCTTCTCTCTCTGACTCAGTTAACTGCCTTAAACACACCTCCTTCAGCCTCCTTTCCACATGGGGTCATTGCTCCATGGGGTCACGACGCTGTTGGTTCCTCTTGTCAACCAAGTCACAGAGCGGAAGAGCCTTCATTTCCTCAGCATCCTCCTCTTCGCACACGATGAACAATCCACACCGTTCTACCTCAGAGCCTTCTTATCAATGTCCTCTGTCCGATGCTACAGTCCAAGCTCAGCTGGTTTTCTCAGCTCAGCACTTCTTGGTTTGTGGCAGCACAACTCCAAACTCCACCTCCATCTCTGGGCTGGTTTTCCATTAGTACTGCAGAAGTGCCCGTTCTGTGCAATGAGACACAGTGACACAGCAGACACCCCCTCCATCCCAGCCCCTGGAGGGTCTGAATGGAGATCAGGACTCTGCAGAGTTGCCCAGGAACATGGTTTCACACATGCTCCTGCAGGAAATCCATAACCATGATCACCAAGTGGGCATTTCCAGCATCTCAGGGTGTAGGGGATGCTGGCTAGTCCCTGCAGTGACACATCCTTTGGCAACTCTATTGTGACCCTATGAAGAACCTATGGAGGTCCTATGAAGGAAGATCCTATAGATGCTATGGAGGCCCTATGGAGATCCTATGAAGGTCCTATAGAAGTCCTGTGAAGGCCCTTTGGAGAACCTATGGAGGTCCTATGGGGTTCCTATAGCAGTCCTATGGAGAGTCTATTGAGATTCTATGAAGGTCCTGTGAAGGCCCTATGGAAAACCTATGGAAGTCCTGTGGAGGTCCTATTGAGACCCTATGGAGGTCCTGTGGAGGTCCTACTGAGACCCTATGGAGGTCCTGTGGAGGTCCTACTGAGACCCTATGGAGGTCCTGTGGAGGTCCTACTGAGACCCTATGGAGTTCCTGTGAAGTTCTGATTGAGATTCTGTGAAGGTCCTGTGGAAGTCTTATGGAGACCCTATGGAAGTCTTGTGGAGGTCCTACTGAGACCCTTTGGAGTTCCTGTGAAGTTCTGATTGAGATTCTGTGAAGGTCCAGTGGAAGTCTTATGGAGACCCTATGGAGGTCCTGTGAAGGTCCCCTGGAGGTGCTATAGAGGTCTTGCAGATTCTGTGGAGATTCTAACACTTTTCCATGCATGAGGTTGGAAATAGACTTGCAGTTTCAAGATGGGAAGCCTAAGGCCAGCACTGTTTTCTAAGCAACCTCAGAGTAAATTGTTTCATGATCTTGAAGAAGCCCAAATCTTATACATCTGCTAGAGATATATAAGCATCTTCTTCACACATGATGAACAAAGTTCACACACTTCCTCCTCAGTAAGGCACAGAGACATGGACAGAAAGAAAACTAGTCAAGGACTGGCTAAAAATCCACTGACCTGGGGATCCGCTGATGGTGTGACGAACACAGTGAGCTTCGGCCAGCTCTCTCAGCAGCCCCAGTGCACGCAGGAGGGGCCCATGAGTGTCATGGCCATACAGCAAGAAAAAGGACATGCAGCCAGCCGTGGTGACTCACACCTGTAATCCCAGCGCTTTGGGAGGCCAAGGTGGGCAGATCACCAGAGGTCAGGAGTTCGAGACCAGCCTGGCCAACATGGCGAAACCCCACTTCTACTAAAAATACAAAAATCAGACAGGTGAGGGGCAGGGACCTGTAATCCCAGCTACTCGGGAGGCTGAGGCAGGGGAATCAGGAGACGGAGGTTGTAGTGAGCCAAGACTGTGCTACTGCACTCCAGCCTGGGAGACAGTGAGACTCCGTCTCAAAAAAAAAAAGAAAAGAGAAGCAGCAGGGACCCAACACCAACGACTCCTTCTCACCAAGGACTATGTAGCCTCCACTGGCTGAGAGTCTCCCCAGTGACCAGCAGAGCCTTCTGGATGGGTTGCCTTCCTTTGAGGGGATGGGTGAGCCATCTGGTGGCCGCTTGACAACATGGCGCATATCCCACCAGGAGGGGGCAGCAAATCCTCCTGGCCGCGATGGATGCTGGTGCTGAGATAGGTTTCGCTGGGCTCATTGCGGCTGTCCGCCAGGAATCAGAGGGTCCCACCTGTTTAAATGGAGCATCCTGCGACTTAATCACAGTTCGAGGGTCCCACGCACCCATGAAATCAGTGGGGCAATGTGAACAGGGCCACGTGATGTCCTGGGGATGACCTGAGATGGGGTGCGTGCAATGCAGTGGTTGGTGCTGCTGGGGCTGAGGGAGCCTCGGAATGGCCTCTCACAGGAGATGCAAGAACAAGGCTGTGGATGAGACGCTGCAGTCTGGGTGCTCTCTGATGGTGTCATAGACATAGATATAAAACAGAGATATAGATAGCTGGAGACAATATACATATTCATGAATGACATCTAAATGGCTTTTCCTTTTAATATTTGTGTTCGTATTTATTTTCCTATAATGGGATTTGCAAATGAAAATGCTACATCTCTACACAGGTAGAACACATGGGCTGGGAAAGAAAAGGAGAGCGTAATAAACAGCCTCCATCACCCCCTTCCAGGTCACCCACCTGGGAGACATGCATGTCCTGGGCCTGCAGTTTTAGGTGATCTGGGGTTAGACGATCTGCCTGGTAGGAAATTACTACCAGAAGAGAACAAGGGTTACCCAATGCCAAGAGTCTCACTTTGCATTTTTTTTTTTTTTTTGTACACTGCAACCTCTGCCCCCCAGATTCAAATGATTCTTCCTGCCTCAGCCTCTAGAGTAATCCCTCTGGGATTACCAGCGTGTGCCACAATGCCTGGCATGTGCTACGAAACCTGCTTTTTTTTTTTTTTTTTAAATCAAAGTCTGATAAATATTTCTTCAAATCCTCCATTGTGTATCAATTGACACTTTGTAAATTTGAAGGACATCTGATTGGTTGAGTGAAAGTGTATAACTTTCTCCTCTCAGCAGACTGTGATTTAAAAGTGTGAAACATCTGTTCTTTTTTTTTTTTTTTGAGACGGAGTTTCACTCATGTTACCCAGGCTGGAGTGCAATGGCGCGATCTCAGCTCACCGCAACCTCCGCCTCCTGGGTTCAGGCAATTCTCCTGCCTCAGCCTCCTGAGTAGCTGGGATTACAGGCACGCACCACCATGCCCAGCTGATTTTTTGTATTTTTAGTAGAGACGGGGTTTCACCATGTTGACCAGGATGGTCTCGATCTCTTGACCTCGTGATCCACCCGCCTCGGCCTCCCAAAGTGCTGGGATTACAGGCGTGAGCCACCGCGCCTGGCCCAACTGTTCTTTTAAAACAACAGCTGTAGTAGTGTTAGTATTAGTTTGCTGTTTGTATTAGTATCGGTTTGCTGCTGGTGCCATAACAAATTACTACATATTGAGTAGCTGAAGCAACATGAATTCATTATCTCATGGTTCTGAAAGTCAGAATTCTAAACAGGTCTTTTAGGATAAAATCGAGGCCTTCACATAGCTGCATTCCTTTCTGGAGCCTCCAGAGAGGAGAATCCATTTCCTTGCTCTTTTAGATTCTTAGTAGAAATGTATGTACTTGTGTACACACATATGACTGACCTATGTGGATTAGTGTTTTGTATGTACTGCTCATTTCATTTACTCACAGCAGCATCTTATCTTCTCCATTTGGGGTTCATTATTCTACTCACTGACTTACATCATCATTTAGTATTGCTTTCAGAGAGACTCCAGGTGCAAAAATATCTGCAGCCTTGCAGCTCTAGTGATGCCTGATTCTCTCTCTCTCTCTTTCTCTCTCTCCCTCCTGAAGTGCTGGGATTCCAGGCGGGAGCCACCATGGTAGGGCCTGCATTTCTCCTCTGTGCTCACGGCCACATGCAGCTCAGCCTGGACTGCACAGCCAGGTGTCAGGTGTGTCTCTGCTGACCTGAGCCTGCCTGCAGCACGGACCTACATCTTCCCTGAAGCATCTCCAGGGCTGGAGAGACGATGGCCATGGTGAGGACCCCGCACTGCTGTGCTGATGGACGGGCTGAAGGAGGGAAGGAGACCCCATGAGGAGGCTGTGAGAGGGAGGAGAAGCCCATGGTCACCCTCACCTAAAAGGGGCTGACTCAGGAAGGCACCAGGGCTATTTGCCGCTGTGTCCTGGTCCTCAATGAAATCAGACAAAGAATG